CCCCCACTGTATATGCTACCTTTTGGTGATGTCATTCGGAAAACATGATGGTTGTACAGTTGTCTCAAATAAAACTGTGAAGGACCTCTGCTACTCTGGACCCTGATCTTTCTTTTGACGAACATATCAAACATATTTAAAGAGCAGCCTTTTTCCATCTTTGTAACATTGCAAAAACCTTTAACTTTTTGTCAAAAAAGTATGCAGAAAAGCTAATCCATGCTTTTGTCACTTCAATATTAGACTACTGCAATGCTCTAAATAAACTTCAGCTAGTGCTAAATAGGGCTGCTAGAATCTTGACTAGAACGAGAAAATTTGATAATATTACTCCAGTGCTAACGTCGCTAGGTTCATGGCTTCCTGTTAGGCCTAGGGCTGATTTTCAAGGTTTTACTGCTAACCTACAAAGCAATTCATGGACTTGCTCCTACCTATCTCGCTGATTTGGTCCTGCTGTACATATAGTACCTGTACATACGCTAGTCACAAGATGCAGGCCTCCTTACTGTTTCTCGAATTTCTAAGCAAACAGCTGGAGGCAGGGCTTTCTCCTATAGAGCTACATTTTTATGGAATGGTCTGCCGATCCATGTGAGAGACGCAGACTCAGTATCAACCTTTAAGTCTTTACTGAAGACTCATCTCTTTAGTAGGTCCTATGATTGAGTGTAGTCTGGCCCTGGGGTGTGAAGGTGAACGGCAAGGCACTGGAGTGATGAACCACCCTTGTTGTCGCTGCCTGGCCTGCTCCCCTCTCTCCACTGGGATTCTCTGCCTCTGACCCTATTACGGGGTCACTGGTTTACTCGTGCTCTCCCAACCTTCCTGTCCTCAGGCTTGTGCAGTGGGGGAGCTCTTCATGGGCTATACTCCCTTGCCTTGTCTCAGGGTAGAGAGTAAGTTAGTGGTCTGTTGATATCCCTTTAGTGCGGTGAGGGCTGTGCTTTGGCAAGGTTGGTGAGGTTATATCCTGCCTGGTTGGCTCTGTCTAGGGGTAACTTTGGATGGGGCCACAGTGTCCCCCAACCCCCCCCTGTCTCAGTCTCCAGTATCTATGCTGCAATAGTCTATGTGCTGTGGGGCTAGGATCAGTCTGTCATATCTGGTGTAATTCTCCTGTCCTATCTGGTATCCTGTGTGATCTTTGGGATGCTCCCTCTAATTATCCCCTTTCTTTCTTTCTTTCAGGTCCCGAGGACCTGAGCCCTAGGACCATGCCTCAGGACTACCTGCCATGATGACTCCTGGCTGTCCACGTCCCCAGTCCATCTGGTCGTGCTGTTGATCCAGTTTCTGCTGTTCTGCCTACGGCTGTGGAACACTGACCTGTTCACCGGACGTGCTACCTTGTTCCGGACCTGCTGTCCCCCCCCCCCCCCTTTATAAAGGGCTTTATAAATACATTTGATTAATTGATTGATATAGAATGTTGTAGTATACTGTAGAATACTATAGTAAATACATAGTATAATATGATTGGCCGTGATTGGCCGTATCAATACAAGGATGTAGTGGATTGTTTTTCCCAACAGCGAAGTGGCTAGCTATGTAAGTGCAGAGCTTTCATTAACACTTCAGCTCACAGCAAGATGAATGTACTGTATGTAGTCTTCGGTGGTTTAATCTTATAGTACTTGACAGAGAGAGAGGGAGGAAGAGAGGGATATATATATATATATATATAGAGAGAGAGAGAGAGAGGAGGGTGAGTCACAGTCAAACCCTTCTGATCACAGGTTGTATAATGAAAGATGGAAAAAGAGGGTGATGACAAAGGGAGGCCCCTATGCTCAAGTGTCAATACGAATACACAATAAGGCAGTTATTTTGGGCAGAGTAAATACAGCTAACGTCATACTGTGCATAGCCTACTGTAAAGACACACACAGGTTAGATTTGTGATCTAGCGAGTACTCCCGGTTTGAAAAACTGTGTAATTATCAGGCGTGTGTGTGTGGAGATGTCTGCTGCTGTCTGTTGTGTACGAGTAATGTGTTTGCTGCAGCCAGCCATGCCCTCATTCTGTTTTCAGAGGGAGTTATCGTGGACGCCATGAGACATAAGTTCACCCTCTGTCGTTACAATGTGAGGCGTGGCCACTTGCTCACCGCCCGCCACTCTGGAACAGTGGTCACCATGGAGACGGCACACAGCAGATCAGACACCGGCCGCGGATAATTAAATTGGCAACCCAAAGCAAAAGGCTTCAGCCGGCCAATCACATGGCCTGAATGTGTTTACCTGTGTGTGTGTGTTTTTGTGGGTGTGTGTTTTTGTGTGTGTGTGTGTGGCTGTGGCTGCAGGGTAGTGTCAGAGAGCTCCAGGTGCTCTGTACATAACCAAATGATAATGACGCTGTCCAACAGTGTTTGGAAAATATTCAGCATGCTTGTCTGGAGCTGAGCGCAGAATAGGCAGGGCAATTACTTTACCCATCAACTCATGTTACATCTCTGCTTGTGAGAGAGAGAGAGAGAGAGAGAGAGAGAGAGAGAGAGAGAGAGAGAGAGAGAGAGAGAGAGAGAGAGAGTTCAGTTCAGGTTCAATGAGTACACATACTGCACCTGCGTGTGGCTGTTTGGAGCCAAGAAGAGCAAGAAAATACTTTCTTAACCAGCGGGGAAAGAACCCTAACTATTTCAGGTAGTCTAGACTGGAACTTTTTCACTCAGGCCCACCTTCCAGCATTGGGGAACATCAAGCGGCGTTGAGCTGGACATAAAGTTATAAATAGCTCTCTAAGGTATCCAATGACTTACATGACAAGATGAAAACTGATGATGCACTACCCAATTTCGATAATTGCGCCTTGTGCATTCTACTATTACAACCTTCAAGAGTAAGTTTAAAGCTAGACTGAGTTCCTTAAAAATAAATTGTTTTTGTTGGAGGGTGGGGCGCGCCCCACAGTTTGGGAACCACTGGCCTAGACGATCAGTAACAACCTCAGACCGCTGCAATGAGAAGCATGATGAAGGTCTGGAGGCAAAAAGTTAACAATTTTATTACATTAAAATGTTCCATACAAACAATGCATACACACTATTTCATATTCCTTCAGATGTACGTTTTTTTTCTTTCTGTTAGAATAATTCCAGTTAACAACTGTGTAACAAAGTGCAAATACAACATTTTTGAAAATATAAATATCTCTAAACAGGTAAGTCAGTCCTGACCATACAAAGAATACCGTAGAAACATTCATTACCAGTATGTCAACTGTGTCGCAAACATGTACGTTATTAAAAGTAATTCAAGTTACATGACATACTATAATACCATCTACTGGCTTCCATATGGACACATTCAAATATACTCTTAAACTGGTATTCCAATATATTATAAGTGGACTCACTTAAACGTCTTCTTTAGCAAAGATAGTACATTTTCTCTATAATTGTTCAACATAATCACAGTAAAACACTCAAATAATTTGGTTATGATGTAAGTTATACAAGCCTTAAAACAAATGGACCATTGTCAACAGAACAAAACAAACTAATATCTGGAATTTAGAAAAAAAACTGTTTGATAGTTCTAGATTTAGAATGTTTGCTTTGAGAGCAGTGAAATATGCTAAAGCTTAATACTGCTACTTAAGTCCTTAAATTACCCTTGGACCAGCGTCTCAACTGCTGAAAAGAAGGTGATATACAGTTAGACAGAATAGCCCTGAAAAGGTGTAATGGAAAACAAAAACGCTAGGGTTCTGATGAGTCATCCTTGACTGATGATATCCTTTAATTTAAACTCCCTGTGACTGTGTGGTAAACAAAAGCAAAAACCAACACCTGTTTTAAGAACAAAGACACACAAACAATTATCAATATGACTAATAAATAACACTAATATTTTTTAATCAGAATCCACATGAACACCTTTCCCGAAAATCCTTTGATATTCTCACACACATGGGAAGAGGAGAGAGTGAGAGGAGAGCGTAGAGGAGATAGAGTAGATAGTATAGAGGATTGAAGAGCGGAGTTAGATCTATCTATAGAGAGTAGCTCTATTCTCTCTCTCTCTATCTCTCCTCTGCTCTCTCTCTCTCTCTCTCTCTCTCTCTCTCTCTCTCTCTCTCTCTCTCTCTCTCTCTCTCTCTCTCTCTCTCTCTCTCTCTCTCTCTCACAAAATGTGGTGTGGATGCTTACAGTGGTGTCTGCGTAAAAACAAGGAATTCATGAACCAGAAACTGCAGGTAAACTTAGACCAGCTGTTAATAGATGTTTATACATGGATGTATAATCTCCAAATCTCCTCCTCAAATTCAACACTGCCACTAAAGTAACTTAACTCTCAATAATTTTTCTTCTTTGATAATTTAAATCAATAAAATTGATTATGTATGCTAGTATATGTATCTCTGTATATACTGTGTTTACAAATTCCCTGCATCTTCGTAGTTCTCAGTAGTCTGCATGAAAATAAAATATATTTTTAAATCCAGGCACTCACTTTGATTGCATTAAGCACAACATAACATTTGTTAAGGAGTTGCACAAATTGCAGCAGCCAAAAGAGATATGTACACATATTTATAGTTCTTCCTTTTTTTTGTACAGTCCCAGTAGACGTAAATAAAACAAAACTAAACATTTCTTAAGAATTACATGTATAAGGAAGAGTATTCAAGCTCACTGGAATGGCTTTGGATATGTAAAACAGATAAATATAAATAGACTTTGTTCTTCGAATGCAAAAGGACACAATGGCAAACCAATAGATTAAATATATTTTCTATATTTCCTCTTGTTTTCAAACCATAAAAAACTACTTGAATTCTAACAGTCATCATGTGAAGAAAAAAACTAAAATGACACCATAAAGGTTGTAATACATGACTTGAGTGCAACGTTATAGTAGCAGTCAGTTCATACCCAGAGGACTGACATCTGCAGCTGAATCAGGCGACTGTAAACAAGAGTAAACTTCAACACCCCAAGAAACATCACACATCCACCTAGCATCTTCATCCATTGCTCCACCCTCCCACACTCTCACTGCAACAGTTCGCTCTTTTTGGTGGGGATGGTGGTCTCAGCCTCCCCAGAGTCAGACACATTGATGGGGCTATCCCTGGAGAAGACCTCGGTGGACTCCCTCCACACGCAGTCTGCAATGGTCTTGAAGGTGTGGTTGCCACACTTGGGCCTTATCTTTTGTGAGGCGTTGTTGACAATCTGCCGACTGTTGGATGTGGCAATCTTGATCTTGAGCGCGGCGTCCACCCTGTCCACCACCGTATAGGTGCCGATGCTGCCATCCTCGAAGCCGATGATGATGTTGAGCGCTCGCTGGCACAGGCAGAGGAAGGTGGGCGTCTTGTAGAGGGAGCATGTCCCGATGCTCTTTCCGTCCGCCAGACGCATCACGATCAGGTTGGACACCACGCCCGCCTCATCGTCCTCATCACTGTTCCGGAAGCAGACATAGACCAGGTAGCGCCCGTCCCTCGACAGCTTCTGCCGCCAGATGATACCGGCGGCGTGGACAAGCCTCAGCTTCCCACTATGAAGATCCAACACGTTAATGTTCTCGTCGCCTTTGGAGATGATGCCCAGTTTCCCGTTTGGTGAAATTTGGAACTCCTCCAGATTTTTTAGGAAGTTAGTAGGCAGCTGGACCCGTCTGCAGACAGACTCATCTGCCACACTCCATATAAACACAGTCTCTGTAGATGTGATGAAGACAACAAAGTCAGGGCAGTCAGGAATGAGCTTGAAGTTGACAATGCTAATGCCATCGTCACAGACAAACTTCTTCGAAATACTGCCTGACCAGAGGCTAACGGCGAGCAGCTTGTTTTTAGTGGTCCCCACCAGGAAGGTGTTTGCGGTGGTGATCAGTGCATTCTGGAGGGTCACCAGGATGTTGCACACCTTGTGTCCAGTGGCCAGCCTCCAGACTCGGGAGCAGTTCTGTTCACAGAGGGAAACCACAAACTGGTCGTTGTGGGTCATCAGGAGTTGGGATATCTTCTGTCCGTTAATGCGGAAGATGTTTTCGCCAGTGGCCGTGTGCCAGATGTACTGGCTGCACTTGTCATCAGACGTCACCATGAGATCCCCGGAGGATGTCAGGACACAGTTTTCCACCAAGCCCTCATGCTTGAAGACCGTCTCTATGAAGCCTGTGCTGAAGTTCCACTTGTGGATGGCTTCGGAGCCGTCCATGGTGAACACAAAGTCCTCCCTGCCAGAGAGCTGTAAGCTCTGGATCCTCTTGCCTGTTTTGTCGATGTTGGACATGGCTGTAATGATGTCAATGTCCCAGACTGATAGCACGCCACTGCTGGCCACAGACAGGAGCAGGTTATGGTGGGTGGACTTGATGAGTTTGACAATGGCCCCAGAGATCTCAATCAGGCTGGCCATGCACTGTCCACTGTCCCTCCTCCACACAAATATGGACGACGTGTTCTCCATGGAGGCCACGATACTTTGGCCATTTTTGGAGAGGACTGCAGCCACGAATCGCTCAGCGCGCTTGGCCTTGAACTTCTCTGCCATCTTCCACAACTTGGTGTCTAGGACCTCGATGCTCTTGTCTTTGCAGATGAGGATGGAGCGCTGGTCTTCTGACAGCTCGATACCTACCACCTCGTTCTCGTCCCCCCGGCAGTCATAATCTTCCATCAGTCTGGGATTGGTGATCTCTTTGGTGTTCCACACTGACAGGCTCCCCTCATTATCGATCATCACCATCTGGTGAATGGTGTCCAAGACCAAGATGGACTTGACAAATCCCCCGGAGAACTCCGACGTGACCGTAGCTAGCTTGTCCCCGGTCCCCAGATGGAAGATGGATGTGGTGTTGAGGTACTGACCACAGAAGGCATACATTCCATCCGGGGAGCATTGGACGCAGGTGACCTCATACCAGCAGTGGAACTGGTAGAGGGGCCAGCCATAGAGCAGATCGATGACATTGACATCTTTACTGGCCTCTAGCCAGGCCAAGGCATGATGGCTGGACAGGTTGAACCCGTTGATGAAAGCCACCCCTCCTGTGATACCACAGTGTTTGGAGCCTTTGATGTCCACTTCGGACAGCAGGCAAGACTTATGGTTGTCATATATGAGCAGTGTGTTCTTGGTGGTTGCCACGACCAGGTACTTCTCATCGCTGGTTAGCCTGATTCCCAGGACAACCGAGCGGGCCGTGTCTATCTGCCGGAGGAGCTGCCTGCTCTCCACATCCCATGTGCTCACGGACCCATCCTCCAGGGCCACAAGTACGATGTTGGGGGCTAGGGTGGGCAGGATCTCCACGATCTGCATGTAGCTGGAGCACAGCGGCAGCCTTTCAGGGCTGTAGGTGACATCCATGGAGGAGTGGAGGGGCACAATGGAGCAGTATTTGGGTCCGTCCTTGTCGCACTCCAGGAGGAGGTGTCGAAGCTTGGGTAAAGAGGTGACCACGGGGAGGAGCCTCTGCTGCAGCTCTGCGGACAGGGACGCCGGGTTCTTCATCACTTTGACCTTGATGCTGCGCAGCGTGGTGGCCAAAAACTTTAGTTCTTTCTCCTGGGAGTAGCTGTAGGCTACATCTATGTCGGTCAGTGCCTTCTCAAACTGCCCTATCTTGATCATGGTGTAGAGCCAGCTGAAGTTCATGATGATCCCGTACATGAGGTCATCCATGCGACCGCTCCGAGTTAGGTGGTAGAGGAGCTCGGTCATCTTCCTGTGGTTGACAAAGAATATATCAGGCTCCAGGAGGTTGCACTGGAACACCCAGGGCTGCTCAGGGGGTCTGCCTGTCATAGGAGTACTTCTCGGCGGATGCTTCTTTGTGGGACGGCTGCTGGGAGTGTGGATTCTTATGTTGGGAGATGTTAAGCGAGGCAAAGTGGTTGTTGTCACAGTGGAATATCTTTTTCCTGCCGCCCGACCACGCCCCCAGGAAGTATTCGGCCAGGAGGCTGTGCATCTGGTGCACGTCCTCCTCATTGCTAAGATACAGCTTCTGGGCGATGAGTTGCAGGTGTCTGTTGGCCCACACCATCAGGGTAACATTATGCACCTGCCTTTCCAGCAGGTACCCCTCCAGTTCCTCTTTCAGCCTCGCCACCAGGTCATAAGAGATCCTCAGCGGGTTTTTTAGATTTGAACTCACCATGATATCTCCCAACACACTGTTATCCAATGACAGAATATCCTCCAGCTCTACCTCCGTTAACCCCACCTTGGCCATGGTGATGTATCCTAGCGCCCTGAACACAAACCGCTGCCCCAACTTGTTCTCCACCGAGTAGAAGAGCTGCTCGATGCTCTCATGCACGGTGGAGCACAGTGAGCGGTCATCCACATCCTTGTGTGAGCGCCAATGCACCACCTCCCGGTAGATGAGGTTGACAAACATGGGTAGCGTGCACTTGGCCAGCGCCTCGTTGACGTAGATCTGCTGTCCCGAGGTCACCTTCCTCTTCAACCCCAGCAACTGCTGCTTCAGTATCTGACTACAGGCCTTACGGTCCCGCTGCACCAGCTCTACGTAGCGTCCTTCATCATGAATCAAACAGCGGAGCTTCTGGAGGATTCCGTGCTTGTTGGGTAATGTGGAGACCACGATGCGGACAGTGCGAGGCAGGTGGGTGGGGAGCCACCACAGCTTGCGGGCCTCGTCGGCCTCTGAGAGCTGCTCCAAGGCATCCAAGACGATAACCAGGGGCCGGTGGAAAGAGGGCTCCCCCAGGAGGTTGACTAGCAGCTCCCTCATCTCCTGGATCTTGTTGGGCAGGAAGTGGATCAGGCAATTGTAGTTGATGGCTATCTGCTCACAGATGCTCTGGAGGAGGGTGCACAGGTTTGTGGCGAACTCGGAGGAGCCCACAAAGCGGACAATGACAACCGGGTCTGTTTCAGGGCCCATCTCCGTCTGGAGCCACGTGTAGGCCTGGAAACAACAAAGAGAGAGAAAATAGATTTTGTCACTTTCTCAAGGTTGGGGTGTCTTTCATGAAAGAGCTCAACACAGATACCAGGCCATGTTTTCAATAATGGATTGCATTTATAAAAACAGTTTTCAAAGTCTCAAAGTATCTCAACCCTTTCCTCAAAGTGGAAAGCACTTTATCTAAACTGAGAAAGGACTTCTGTGAAAGAAGTAACTAGTTTTGTAAAAATCTAATCAAATTTCAAATCAAATTGTATTTGTCACATGTGCAAAATACAACAGGTGTAGACCTTACAGTGAAATGGTTTACTTACAAGCCCTCATTTGAGTAATTGTGTCATTTTTTTACAAGCTTTAACTTTTTGCAATCATTTCCCACACACGTTACACTTTAAAATGAGTTTCAATAATTATACTGTATGCAATCCATATTAACCCTGTCTGACTCAGGAGACAATAGACAATCAGCAGGCAACATAAAGCTCTACTAAAGTGGAGGGAGCTGAAATATGATGCCATGTTTGGAGTTTCAAGTTGTATTAGTCATATGTACGGTATACACTGTCCAACGAATCAATCAATCAATCAAATGTATTTATAAAGCCCTTTTTACATCAGCAGATGTCACAAAGTGCTATACAGAAACCCAGTCTAAAACCCTAAACAGCAAGCAATGCAGCTGTAGAAGCACTTACTTGCAGGTTCCTTCTCGACAATGCAACAACAATAAGAAATAAGAAAAAAAAAGAAGAATACGAACATAAAGTAAATGGCTCAGTAGAATAAAATAAACATTTTAGCATAATATAATACAGGAGCTTCCGATTCATGATCCAGAAGTGTTTGTCGATCGTCGGAAATAATTGCACGAACATCTGAGCAAATAAAGTAATAATGAACGCAAACATAGCCATAAAAAAGCAAAGTCGAGCAGGAACCGGCAAGATGCGTGCAGAGAGATATTTGCTTCAATACCGGGTATTTTGTCCCCTGAGGCCATATACAGTGCCGTGAAAAAGTATTCGCCCCCTTTCTGATTTTCACTCTTTTATCAGATCTTTAACCAAAACCTAATATTAGATAAAGGGAACCTGAGTTTATACATAAAAAATATACTTATTTAATTATCAAAGTTATGCAACATCCAACTCCCCTGTGTGAAAAAGTAATTGCCCCCTTACACTCAACAACTGGTTGTACCACCTTTAGCTGCAATGACTGCAACCAAGTGCTTCCTGTAGTTGTTGATCAGTCTCTCACATCGCAGAACTGCTTTAACTCAGCGACATTTGGGGGTTTTCAAGCATGAACTGCTTGTTTCAAGTCCTGCCATGTCTCAATTGGGATTAGGTCTGGACTTAATTCCAAAACTTCAAATTTGTTGCTTTTTAGCCATTTTCATGTAGACTCAATTGGTAGAGCATGGCGCTTGTAACGCCAGGGTAGTGGGTTCGAATCCCCGGGACCACCCATACGTAAAAATGTATGCACACATGACTAAGTCGCTTTGGATAAAAGCGTCTGCTAAATGGCATATTATATACTTGATTGTGTGTTTTGGATCATTGTCTTGCTGCGTGACCCAGCTGCGCTTCAGCTTACAGACGGATGGCCTGACATTCTCCTGTAGAATTCTCTGATACAGAGCAGAACTCATGGTTCCTTCTATTAAGGCAAGTCATCCAGGTCCTGAGGCAGAAAAGCATCCCCAAACCATCACACTACCACCAACATGCTTGACAGTTGGTATGAGGTTCTTACTGTGGAATGCAGCGTCTGGTTTTCACCAGGCATAATGGCACCTATGTCGTCCAAAAGTTGACTCAAGTTTGCCAAAAAGCACCTGGAAGCACCTAGATGATCATCAAGACCCTTGGAAGAATGTTCTATGGACAGATGAGTCAAAAGTATAACTTTTTGGACAACATGGGACCCATTATGTCTGGCAAACAGAAAACACTGCATTTGATTCGGTAGACCATTCCATTCTTGTGGGTCGGTTAAGGAGTATTGGTGTCTCTGAGGGGTCTTTGGACTGGTTTTCTAACTACCTCTCTGAAAGAGTGCAGTGTATAAAGTCAGCACATCTGCTGTCTCAGCCACTGCCTGTCACCAAGGGAGTACCCCAAGGCTCGATCCTAGGCCCCACACTCTTCTCAATTTACATCAGCAAACATAGCTCAGGCAGTAGGAAGCTCTCTTATCCATTTGTATGCAGATGATACAGTCTTATACTCAGCTGGCCCCTCCCTGGATTTTGTGTTAAAGGCTCTACAACAAAGCTTTTTTAGTGTCCAACAAGCTTTCTCTGCCCTTAACCTTGTTCTGAACACTTCCAAAACAAAAGGTCATGTGGTTCAGTAAGAAGATTGCCCCTCTCCCCACCGGTGTGATTACTACCTCTGAGGATTTAGAGCTTGAGGTAGTCACCTCATACAAGTACTTGGGAGTATGGCTAGACAGTACACTGTCCTTCTCTCAGCACATATCCAAGCTGCAGGCTATGGTTAAATCTAGACTTGGTTTCCTCTATCATAATTGCTCCTCTTTTACCCCAGCTGCCAAACAAACCCTGATTCAGATGACCATCCTATCCATGCTAGATTACGGAGAAGTAATTTATAGATCGGCAGGTACAGTAAGGGTGCTCTTGGGCGGCTAGATGTTCTTTACCATTCAGCCATCAGATTTGCCACCAATGGTCCTTATAGGACACAACACTGCACTCTATACTCCTCTGTAAACTGGTCATCTCTGTATACCTGCCGCAAGACCCACTGGTTGATGCTTATTTATAAAACCCTCTTAGGCCTCACTCCCCCCTATCTGAGATACTGACTGCAGCCCTCATCCTCCACATACAACACCCATTCTGCCAGTCACATTCTGTTAAAGGTCCCCAAAGCACACACATCCCTGGGTCGCTCCTCTTTTCAGTTCGCTGCAGCTAGCGACTGGAACGAGCTACAAAGAAAACTCTCAAACTGGACAGTTTTATCTCCATCTCTACATTCAAAGACTCATTCACACTCTTGCTGACACTTGTGGCTGCTTCGCGTGATGTATAGTTGTCTCCATCTTTTTGCCCTTTGTGCTGTAGTCTGTGCCCAACAATGGTTGTTCCATGTTTGTGCTGCTACCATGTTGTGCTGCTGCCATGTTGTGTTGCTACTGTGTTGTTGTCATGTTGTGTTGCTGCCATGTTGTGTTGCTGCCATGCTGTGTTGTCTTAGGTCTCTCTTTCTGTAGTGTTGTGGTGTCTCTCTTGTCATGATGTGTGTTTTGCCCTACATTTCTATTTTTAATCCCAGCCCCCGTACCCGCAGGAGGCCTTTTGCCTCTTGGTAGGCCATCATTGTATATAAGAATTTGTTCTTAACTGACTTGCCTAGTTAAATAAAGGTAAAACATTTTAGAATAATAATTCATCGTTGAAGATCTGATAATATTCAGTATCAAAAATATGCAAAAGTAGAGAGAATTAGAAAGGGGGCAAATACTTGTTCACGGCACTGTAGGCCTACTTAGCAAATAGCACTGCCTTAGTCTGCCTTAGTTTGTAGAACTAATACAGTATTCAACAGATCCAATCCTGTGAACATTTTAAGCTGTCCTCTCCTTGCCAAGGCCATGAGCTAAACAGAAAAACATTCTCAAGAGTTAGATAGAAATAGCCTGGTCCTAGATCTGTTTGTGCTTTTGCCTACTCCATTGTCATTGTCAAGCCAAACATGTTTTGCAAGACAATTCCATAAGGAGTTGGCAAGAGAGCAGAAACAGACTGGCACCCAGGCTAAGATAGAAACGCCCAATGACTTTCCCATAATGAGAGAGATTGTATGAATCAGCGCTCCTCCCTGTTTCCCTTGTTTCATCCATATTCATAATTTAATTCCAGAAATTAATGAAGACCCCTGCTGTGATTCCTAGAATCATTAAACATAATTTGATACTTTTGGAGCAATTCTTGAGGCTCTGAGATAGGCTACAGAAGTATGGGTGTGTGAGAGTGTGTGAGAGAGCCAATGTGTGTGAGTGTGTGTGTGTGCCTATATGTGGGACTGTGTGTGTGTGTGTGTGTGTGTGTGTGTGTGTGTGTGTGTGTGTGTACACATGTCTGAGCAAATATGTATGTGCATATGTGAGTTGGTGTGTGTATTTCTGTGTGAGTGACGTGTGTGAGCAAATATGTGAGCATGTGTGTGTGTGGTGTGCATGGCAACTCCAAGGAGAGTACGGCAGGTCTCAGAGGTCATCATGACAGAGCTAGCGTTAGTGACTAAAATCTGTGAGTCTGCTCCGGGCGATAGGCTGTCACAACAGACCCATCATTCCATACTTCCCTCCATTCCCCCATCACTCCTCTTATCCAAAAACACAGACCACCTCCCCACTCATCCTCGCAATGTATAACTCCAGAAGCAAATAAAGAATAACAGGGGTATCACACTTTTATATCTAGCACTGATCTCTGCTGGAGTTATGTATTCGAAGCAAAGATCTGAACAATCTATTTCACCTATGATAAATTATGTGTCAACCGTAATATATTACAGGTGAAATAATCTTACTGTGTGTGTGTACACAACTATGCTAGTGTAGCCTACCACAGTCCTCCTCTAACTCCTTCTATCCATCCCTCTCATCTCCTCCGTTGGGCCCCGTGTAGCTCAGTTGGTAGAGCATGGTGCTTGCAACGCCAGGGTTGTGGGTTCGATTCCCACGGGGGACCAGTATGGAGAAAATAGAAAAAAAAAAGAAAAAAAGGTATGCACTCACTAACTGTAAGTCGCTCTGGATAAGAGTGTATGTAAAAATGTTGTTCTGTCTCAATCTATAAAAAGCATTTTGCAGCACTCCGCTTGCCTGCCTTTCAGTGAATTAGGGGAGAAATCTTCAACACAATGGAGCAGCAGAATGAAAGTGTGCGAGTTTGGCTTTGTGCCCAAATATGTGTGGCTTAGTCGAGCGTGGCTCCCTGCCTGTATTCCATAAAGTAAATCACTTTATCTTACAAGAAGGCAATTTCATGGCATCCATTATAAAGGTTGAAGAGAGACGCAGGGTAGAGCCGCCCCGGGCGACTGCACTGTGGGCTTCCTGGAACATGACCCTAATGGGCCCGACTGGCCGGGCAGCCAGATGGCCCAGCAACAGACAGGCCAGTGAGTGAACACTGACCTGACACACACATGTAAGGGCACACGGGCATACAGGCACACATCCATGAATTCACAAACATAGGCACCTGTGCATAGTGATGGATGGACTCACGTGCATCAAACAAACACATACAGATGGATAATGCATGTGTAGCGAGCATACGCACACCCTTGCATACTCTCGCGCACAGAAGGAGGTACACACACAGATGGACACACTCACACGGACAAACACAGAGAGACACAAAAATGCACATTCTCTCTCACATGAATGCCTGTTGTGCTAGCTAAAGCCATCCTTTTATTTCTTAAATCAACATTGATCTAAACCAGGAAGTCCCATTAAGTCCCAAAGACCAGAATTCCACCCCCCACAGTACAATGGCATGACTCTCACCTGTTTGGCCACCTCCGCTAGCAGCAGTGTCTTCCCCGTGCATGGCCCGCCGTAAACAACCAGAGGGCTCATCCTACTCCCCTTAGACGGCAGCAGATACTCCTGCACGAGGTCCAGCGTCTCGCTCGTATAATCGTAGAACGCAGAGAAGTTCTTACACAGGGACAGGTGCTGGAGGATCTCATCGTACAAGGGGTCCGTCTCTGTGTCAAAGTTCTGCTGGACTGTGGCCTGGATGATGTCCACCATATCCTCGTAGAACTGTTTACACAAGCCTTCGACGTAGTGGCTCTCCACCTCCTGGGAGTAGCCTAGCTTCATGTCGCAATGCGTCACAGAAGAGTAGACGCGGAGGTTCGACGAGGCCACCACTGTTGGGATAAACTCATCCCGCACCTTTAAGAGACGTTCGTAGGCTTCCTGGTTACGCATGACGCGGTCCTCAGCGACGATGATGTCCATGTACTTGGCCATCTCCGGGAGCTTCGCATGTCGGTCAAAGTTGGAGATCTTGCGGATGTAGCAGACACACTTCTTGAGGAAGGCTGGCGTTTGTTTGCCCAATGCAAAGTCCAGTTCATCCTCCAAGGCTGGAAAATAGGAAAAAAACAAACATACAGTCAATCAATTCAAAGTTAGAAAGTTTTGACCATAAAGAAAAATTGCTATATAATGTTTCTGAGGAGTTAGGCTAACCTTGTGCATCCAATGCTATTATATAAAACCCACGGATGATTTGGAGTCCTAATATTGTTCAAAGTTACTTGAAAATGTGTCCCTGAAGTAGCCAGGCCACTAACAGGCCTACCCATTTTCTAAGTAGTTTGAAAATGCGAGCACTGGATGCTGTTGTGTGCTCCAACGATTGTCTTCAAAACAGACACATTTTGAGATTTGGGAGTCTAAAGTAAAGCTGCACAGATTCTGGCAGTCTTTTTTTAGCCTGTCTTTAGTCTGCGATTAGATATGTTTCCCCTAAGCCTTGTTTAAGGAGAGATGTTTCCCCTAAGCCTTGTTTAAGGAGAAACATGGTTGATACAATCACATAATCCAGCATTGCAGCCTTATCAAAGACCCCCAAAGAGCCAGCTCTACACTCTTAGAAAAAAAGGTGTTATCTAGAACCTTAAAGGGTTCTTTGGCTGTCCCCACAGGAGAACCCTTCGAAGAACCCTTTTGGTTCCAGGTAGAACACTTTTGGTTCCAAATAGAACCCTTTTGGGTTCCATATACAACCCTTTCCACAGAGTTCTACATGAACCCCAAAAGGGTTCTACCTAGAACCAAATATTGTTAACCTATGGGGACAGCTGAATAACTGTTTTGGAACCCTTTTTTCTAAGAGTGTACTGAAACTTTGCCAGCATCTCCTGTGTGGTATCGCTCACACTGCAGCGTGCTATAGAAGCAACAGAGAGAAAAGAAGGGGAGAGCGGCTGGAGGGGGAGAGAAGCGAGCGTATGAAAACACTGTTTGAAGCTCGGTATAGTCAATAACTGGCATACTGAATGTATTTTTTCCTTAGGCTACACAAAGGCCTTGGCTATGCCTTTGAATGAATCAAACATAGAAATCTGCATGGTAATTAAGTTAAATTACTTTGTGTGAATTTGTAATGTCCACAGCGTATATGGCTCAGCAGGGGAACATAGAAAACAACCTCGAAATTCCCCATATATTCATTAAAAAGTAGGCTGCCGCTAGCAGTGTTGCTGCTTTCTCTCTAGGTACAAATGCCTGGCCTACAAAGAAACCCAGCCGGCACCCATGATGCCAATGTCCCACAAAACACAACAAACATTGCACGGTACAACAGCCAAAAAAAGGCTACAGAGAGATGCTAGAGAAATGCCTTGCAGATAACGGGAATATACTTATTTTTCTCTCACCCTCAAAATGGATGATCGTGCCCAATTGGATCAGTGTTTATTAGATTATCCCAAATAGAGTGACCTTTAGTCTAATTAGACCCAATTTTGAGAACTCTAGGGCATACATTTACATTTACATCATTTAGCAGACGCTCTTATCCAGAGCGACTTACAAATTGGTGCATTCAACTTATGATAGCCAGTGGGACAACCACTTTTTTTTTTTTTTTTTTTTTTTTAATGGGGGGTGGAGGAAGAAGGATTACTTTTATACTATTCCAGGTATTCCTCAAAGAAGTAGGGTTTCAAGTGTCTCCGGAAGGTGGTCAGTGACTCCGCTGTCCTGGCGTCGTGGGGGAGCTTGTTCCACCATTGGGGTGCCAGAGCAGCGAATAGTTTTGACTGAGCTGAGCTGGAACTGTGCTTCCGTAGAGGTAGGGGAGCTAGCAGGCCAGAGGTGGATGAACGTAATGCCCTCGTTTGGTCAGAGCCTGAAGGTAAGGAGGTGCCGTTCCCCTCACAGCTCCGTAGGCAAGCACCATGGTCTTGTAGTAGATGCGAGCCTCAACTGGAAGCCAGTGGAGTGTGCGGAGGTGCGGGGAGACATGAGAGAACTTGGGAAGGTTGAACATCAGACGGGCTGCAGCGTTCTGGATAAGTTGTAGGGGTTTAATGGCACAGGCAGGGAGCCCAGCCAACAGCGAGTTGCAGTAATCCAGACGGGAGATGACAAGTGTCTGGATTAGGACCTGTGCCACTTTCTGTGTAAGGTAGGGTCGTACTCTGCGAATGTTGTAGAGCATGAACCTGCAGGATCGGGTCACCGCTTTGATGTTAGCGGAGAACGACAGGGTGTTGTCCAGGGTCACGCCAAGGTTCTTTGCACTCTGGGAGGAGGACACAATGGAGTTGTCAACCGTGATGGCGAGATCATGGAGCGGGCAGTCCTTCCGCGGGAGGAAGAGCAGCTCCGTCTTGCCAAGGTTCAGCTTGAGGTGGTGATCCGACATCCACACTGATATGTCTGCCAGACATGCAGAGATGCGATTCGCCACCTGGTTATCAGAAGGGGAAAGGAGAGAATTAATTGTGTGTTGTCTGCGTAGCAATGATAGGAGAGACCATGTGAGGATATGACAGAGCCAAGTGACTTGGTGTATAGAGAGAATAGGAGAGGGGCTAGAACTGAGCCCTGGGGGACACCAGTGGTGAGAGCACGTGGAGCGGAGACAGATTCTCGCCACGACACCTGGTAGGAGCGACCTGTCAGGTAGGACGCAATCCAAGAGTGAGCAGCGCCGGAGATGCCCAACTCGGAGAGGGTGGAGAGGAGGATCTAATGGTTCACAGTATCAAAGGCAGCGGATCTGTCTAGAAGAATAAGAACAGAGGAGAGAGAGTTAGCTTTAGCAGTGCGGACAGCCTCCGAGACACAGAGAAGAGCAGTCTCAGTTGAATGACCAGTCTTGAAACCTGACTGGTTTGCATCAAGAAGGTCATTCTGAGAGAGATAGCAGGAGAGTTGGCTAGAGACGGCACGCTCAAGAGTTTTGGAGAGAAAAGAAAGGGATACTGGTCTGTAGTTGTTGACATCGGAGGGATCGAGTGTAGGTTTTTTGAGGAGGGGTGCAACTCTCGCTCTCTTGAAGATGGAAGACATGGCCAGTGGTCAGAGTTGATGAGCGAGGTGAGGTAAGGGAGAAGGTCTCCTGAAATGGTCTGGAGAAGAGAGGAGGGGATAGGGTCAATGTGGCAGGTTGTTGGGCCATCACAAGTCGCAAGATTTCATCTAGAGAGAGGGGAGAAAGAAGTCAAAGCATAGGGTAGGGCAGTGTGAGCAGGACCAGCGGTGTCATTTGACTTAATAAATGAGGATTGGATGTCGTCAACCTTCTTTTCAAAATGGTTGACGAAGTCATCCACAGAGAGGGAGAAGGGAGGGGGAGGAGGAGGAGGATTCAGCAGGGAGGAGAAGGTGGCAAAGAGCTTCCTAGGGTTAGAGGAAGAGGCTTGAAATTTAGAGTGGTAGAAAGTGGCTTTAGCAGTGGAAACAGAGGAAGAGAATGTAGAGAGGAGGGAGTGAAAAGATGACAGGTCCGCAGGGAGTCTAGTTTCCCTCCATTTCCGCTCGGCTGCCTGGAGCCCTCTTCTGTGAGCTCGCAATGAGTCGTCAAGCCATGGAGCAAGAGTGGAGGACCGAGCCGGCTGGGAGGATAGGGGACATAGAGTCAAAAGATGCAGAAAGGGAGGAGAGGAGGGTTGAGGAGGCAGAATCAGGAGATCGGAGGGAGAAGGATTTAGCAGAGGGAAGAGATGATAGGATGGAAGAGGAGAGAGTAGCGGGAGAGAGAGAGAGCGAAGGTTGCGACAGCACATTACCATCTGAGTAGGGGCAGAGTGAGTAGTGTTGGAGGAGAGCGAGAGAGAAAAGTATACAAAGTAGTGGTTGGAGACTTGGAGGGGAGTTGCAGTGAGATTAGTAGAAGAACAGCATCTAGTAAAGATGAGGTCAAGCGTATTGCCTGCCTTGTGAGTAGGGGGGGACGGTGAGAGGGTGAGGTCAAAAGAGGAAAGGAGTGGAAAGAAGGAGGCAGAGAGAAATGAGTCAAAGGCAGACGTAGGGAGGTTAAAGTCACCCAGAACAGTGAGGGGTGAGCCATCCTCAGGAAAGGAACTTATCAAGGCATCAAGCACATTGATGAACTCTCCAAGGGAACCTGGAGGGCGATTAATGACAAGGATGTTAAGCTTGAATGGGCTAGTGACTGTGACAGCATGGAATTCAAATGAAGAGATAGACAGATGGGTCAGGGGAAAAAGAGAGAATGTCCACTTGGGAGAGATGAGGATTCCTGTGCCACCGCCACGCTGACCAGATGCTGTCGGGGTATGCGAGAACACATGGTCAGACGAGGAAAGAGCTGTAGGAGTAGCAGTGTTTTTTGTGGTAATCCATGTTTCCGTCAGCGCCAAGAAGTCGAGGGACTGGAGGGTAGCATAGGCTGAGATCAACTCTGCCTTGTTGGCCGCAGAACGGCAGTTCCAGAGGCTGCCGGAGACCTGGAATTCCACGTGGGTCGTGCACGCAGGGACCACCAGATTAGAGTGGCAGCAGCCACACGGTGTGAAGCATTTGTATGGCCTGTGCAGAGAGGAGAGAACAGGGATAGACAGACACATAGTTGACAGGCTACAGAAAAAGGCTACAATAATGCAAAGGAGATCGAAATGAAATGAACTAAACATCTGGGAAAGCGAGAGAGCGGGGCCTCCCTCACTTACGTTTCACTGAAACACTCAAATATAACTCTCCCAACTTCCACTTTTTATAATTGTTGTAAACTACAGCGGTTCAATGTTTTCAAGGAATAGACTCTAACTTAGTTTATTCAGCTAGCTAACTTGGTACAGCATACATACTACAGCATACATACTTTAAAATGGTAAACACAGAGGGTGACAATGAATATTCAATTACATCTGTTTAGGGTTATATCTGGGCTTTATGAGAAGGCTTATCTGTATTTTTCTTTAAACCGAAGACTCTCTGATGGTATATTTGCATTGGCTCATGAGGAAAACTGATTGCTACCATAAAATAATCATAATAATTTCTTAAATGTTTTAACTAAAGCCTGAGAACTACTCCCCCAGTTAAATGTTCTCGGCACAATTAATGGACCCACAAACATATCTTGGTTGTACAGTATAGCTCAATTAACATAATGATGTAAACAAGAGAACACCACAGCACTAAATAACACAAAGTACTATACTGACTTTCATGGTAAAACACTCTAGTAGAAGAAGAAGAAGGAAAAAACTAAGAAGAAAACAGACGTAGAAGAAGAACAGCAAATAAACACAGAAGAAGAGGAAGAAGAAGAAGAGAACACAGGAGTAGCCTACATACCAGAGCAGAGGAATTTCTTGGCTTGAGGGGGCTTCATGGTGCCCTTCTCCTGGAGCTGCAGGACAGACCTACGGAAGATCCTCTTGATCTCCTCAGACACGTTCCTCCACGCCTTGTCGTTCTTCAACTTGGCTGCACTGCTCGACTCCATCTGTAGAAGAGAGGGAGATAAAGGGAGTTTTTAATATTGAAATTGGCACACAGTGTATGTTCAAAAAAGCAGAACTATCTATACAAAAGTATATGTAAACAAATTAGTGGATCACACTATTTCAGCCACACCTGTTTGACAGGTGTGTAAAATTGAGCACAAACATTGGCATTAAAATGGCCTCACTGAAGAGCTCAGTGACTTTCAACATGGCACCGTCATAGGATGCCACCTTTCCAACAAGCCAGTTCGTCAAATTTCTGCCCTGCTAGAGCTGCCCCGGTTAACTGTAAGTGCTGTTATTGTGAAGCTCAAAGAATGGGACCGCCATGTGCTGAAGCGCGTAGACATCCTCTGTCCTCGGTTGCAACACTCACTACCGAGTTTCAAACTGCCTCTTGAAGCAACGTCAGCACAATAACTATTCGGACGTCCCTGATGTGCTCCTCGAACGTAGCCGAGTAGATCAGGATATCGTCAATGTACACCACCACCTGTCTACTCAGCAAGTCCCGGAACACGTCATTGACAAAGGACTGGAACACAGAAGGTGCGTTGGCGAGGCCGTAGGGCATGACGCAGTATTCATAGTGGCCTGAGGTAGTGCTGAATGCCGTCTTCCACTCGTCTCCTTCCCGGATTCGGATCAGGTTGTAGGCACTCCTCAGGTCCAACTTGGTAAAGTACCGGGCCCCTCGTAGCTGCTTGATGGCCAACGGAACCAGAGGGAGGGGGTACCGGTACTTGGTGGTGATTGCGCTCAGCCCCCTGTAGTCAATGCATGGTCTCAGTCCTCCGTCTTTTTTGGCCACCCCTGTTTCAGGGTCTCCGCCACATACTTCTCAATGGCCTCAGTCTCCGCCATGGAAAGGGGGTAAATGCGACTCTTCGGGGGGTGTTGTCCCTCCAGCAGGTCAATGGCAGAGTCCCAGGGCCTGTGAGGAGGGAGACACGTAGCCATTAATGAAGAGAAGACATCGGAAAGATATGCGTACTATCATTGCGGTAGAAATGGAAGAGAAGGAATAACCAGTCACTGTTATGGGAACTAAAAACAATGGTTTTGTGACAGGAGCTGACGTAACACTCACGGAGCGGCGACGGGAGTCATACCGCCTAGATAGGGAGCCGCCAGGAGATCTGTGGTCGGTGGTGGTGTAGGGGGTGCTGCCCACCACCATGGGTGAGGACTCGGAAGCAGGGCGGCTTCCATAGCTCAGATGGGGAGAGCGTCTATGCGCCGGGAGGTGTTGGGAACGCCGTCTCTCTCTCAACATGTCGTCAAGACAGATGGACGTGGTGATGAGGGTATCAAGGTCCATCTCGTCGTCCCGACATGCGAGTTCCGTCTTGATGTCCTCCCGTAAGCCTCTCCTGAAGACTGTGCGCAGAGCACGCTCATTCCAGCCGTAAGACGCCGCCACCGTGCGAAAGCTTAGAGCGTACTCGGACACAGGCCCCTCTCTCTGTTGTAGATGGAGGAGACGCTCACCCCCGTCCTTCCCCTCCGTGGGATGATCAAACACCGCCCTGAACCTAGCGAGGAAGGTGGGGTAGGGAAGCGCCACTGCCTCCTCTCCTTCACAGACTGCCGTGGCCCAATCCAGTGCCTTTCCTTTAAGAAGCGAAATAACCAGCACTATCCTGGCTTGGTCAGATGGATATGCCCCAGGCTGACACACCAGATAAAGGGAAACCTGTAGCAGGAAGCCGCTACATTTAGTAGTTTTAACGTCATAGCGCTCCGGTAAGGCGAGGGTTCCCGCAGGTGTGGGTGATAGCACGGGAACAAGTGGATTGGGGGCACTCGCCTCTCCCTGAGGTGGAACCGGAGTGCTGGGCAGATTATGCAACGTTTGGAGCACTTCCTGCATGGCAGCGTTCAACTGGGCAAGCTGCTGCTGGTGCTGGTCGAGGCACTGGGTAAATCCTGCTGCATCCATTTTCGTTTGGTGTGTGATTCTGTGACGCGAAGAGGCAGACGCAGGAATTAACAGGGTCAAGGTTTACTTAACAATGAGCAAGAGAAATAACAAAGATACAGTAAACGACACGAAGCTAAACAATCACACACAACATCATCCAGAACTAAATAGGGGTGATGATGAGGTGCAGGTGCGCTGGAAGTGATTAGGGTCCGTTCGGTTTCCATTCCGGTGTTGCCGAGGTGGTGCGCTCAGACCGGTGGCTCAGTAAACCGGCGAATCAGAGCGCCGGAGGGGGAGGAGACGTGACACCAACTGAAAGTTTGGTGGAGTAATAATGGTCTGGGGCAGTTTTTCATGGTTCGGGCTAGGCCCCTTAGTTCCAGTGAAGGGACATTTTAACACTACAGTATACAATGACATTTTAGAGGATTCTGTGCTTCCAACCTTGTGGCAATAGTTTGGGGAAGGCCCTTTCCTGTTTCCGAATGACAATGCCACCGTGCACAAAGTGAGGTCCATACAGAATTGGTTTGTCGAGATCGGTGTGGAAGAACTTGACTGGCCTGCACAAAGCACTGACCTCAACTCCATCGAACACCTTTGGGATGAATTGGAAAGCCAACTGCGAGCCAGGCCTAATCGCCCAACATCCGTGCCCGACCTCACTAATCCTCTTGTGGCTGAATAGAAGCAAGTCCCTGCAGCAATGTTCCAACAGCTTGTGGAATGCCTTCCCAGAACAGTGGAGGCAGTTATGGCAGCAAAGGGGGGACCAACTCCATATTAATGCCCATGATTTTGGAATGTTTGACGAGCAAGTGTCCACATACTTTTGGTCATGTAGTGTATATAGTAGATTAGAGAGTACGTAGCTAGCTCAATTGATAAACTAACAAAGCCAGAGACCTATAGAAGTTGGCAAAAGGAAGAAAGTTGAGTTGGTATATAGTAGAAACTGTTGGAGTTGTTTTGGCCCACGGCAAACCGATGCAATATAGTGCATTATCTCCACAAGCTGAACTGGACCACAGAGTCACAGTATAGAAGAAACACAATCTATACCTGCTGATCCTATTGTGTTTGTTTTTGTGTCCAATACCCTAGAGCTGCAGTAGACATCCCTGGAGAGAGGAAGTCAATGAGATTCATGAGATAAGTTTCCAGGATGCAAACCCTGCTGTTTTTCTCATTTCCCTCCTACCTCCAACCAAGAGGAAGAGCCGCATTGAGTGACAAAAGCGCTAATGTTTAGCTAGCTTTCACAGCATGCTAACCTAGCACACAGTGACACAGGCGCTAACGTTTAGTTAGACAAAACAGCTGTACTTACATGGTGACTGTTACACAGGTATACACAAACATTTAGCTAGCGACTACAGTATATGTAATATGTTTACCTTAAAACTAACTGGCCTAGCACTATAGTTAAATGGATAGGTAGATATCTGCAGATATGTTTACTGCTAGTCCCAACTCACAGTAAGATTACCAAGCTTTTAATTATTTTAAGAAAATATAGGGAAAATCTTTATAGCTCTCATAAACCTTCCACTAGGCCAACACATTCTAATGAGGGCAGAAAGTTGAAGTTTAAACGTTTTGTATAAAAGAAGGGTTGAGAATTGTTGACAAATGACTTCTATTAGCTAGTTTTACTGGCGCTTTAAAAAAACTTTTTGTGAATGTTAACCCAAGGACATTTGTTCAAGCATAACAGTTGGCTTAGACAAAAACACAGCAGAAAAGCTCGCTCTTCAAATGTGAATGTGATACTGAACAAAGTTTTGGCTGTCCGTAATGATGTTTCAGTATCTTGGGTAAGTCTAACCGAGACCTACTCAGTTAGTCTTTGCCATGATCCAAGTGAAACTGGCCACGGCCCACTCAACTACCATTCCAGAACAACTGGGTTAGGGTCTTGGCATAATGTTCTATTGGTTTAAGGCCGAAGGGTTCAGGGTTCATTTTACTGAGGTTTGTAGTTCGGGCTTTGGGTTTAAAGTAGTATGGTTTGGAGTGGCAGGGTTTGAGGCAGAAGGGTTCAAATCTTACTGAGTTCTGGTAGTTCTTCAACATCTGGGCTTTGGGTTTGAGGTAGTAGGCTGGTGGCACGGCATTCTCATCTCGGCAGTACCACTCCTCCAGGACGTGTGTGTCCAGCCCCGCCTCCAACGCCGCATCCAGGATCATCTCAAACTCTGGAGCCTCCACTTCCCCTGGCACGCGGATACTGCCATACTTCTCCCCCACCAGCCCCTATGAGCAAGGAAGGAACGAGGAATGAAGGTAGGAGGAAAGAAAGATAGAGAGAGGTAGAACGGTCATCATCATCACCGCTTGACTTTCTATGATCATTGGTTTCAAGGTTTATAGTTACACTCAATCTTGGAGTATCTTTGAGACTATGATTATGACTTTCTGCACTGCCTTTCGCCTTGAAGTGCTTATTGTGTGAAGGCATCCAGGCAAACAGGGAGACAATGACAGCCTTTCATTTGTGTGTCTCATGTGTACCGGTCTGCTCTGTCAGCCTGGGCTTAGAGTTCATTTTTTCTGTTTTCTTTTCTTCCTTTTCGAAAGTGAATTCACAGTACACGGCTAGACTGAAAGGTACACAACTAGGCAAAATAAATGGTCAGGGCCAGCCATTGAAGGGTGACGTGCTGAGTGTATCAGAATTGTATTGCTTTTGCTATTCATTTGTCTGTGTTCTTTGTCAGTGTGTGGGTAGCTGCTTTGAATGTAAATTAATTGTATGGAATGGAATAATGGAGAATGGGTATGTCTGTTGGTACAGAGTGGAAGATACCCTGGTGGTTAAGAGCATTGGGCCAGTAACCAAAGATTAAAGGTGTACTGTCGTCATGAATGCCATAATCTTCATCATTATCATTGTCAACAGCAACACCACCATTATTGATCATCACCACGGTCTCCTATAATAACTTGGCCAGGGATACAAAATTATATAAAGCCAAACTGCTCGCACATGCTTGATAGAATAATAGTGTTTTATTTAATCATACTTTCTTTGTCTACCACACTGAAATAATTTGCACTAGCTCATTCTCTTTCTTATCACACAGAACCACACTTCTCAATATTGTCACACCCTGATCTGTTTCACCTGTCTTTGAGATTGTCTCCACCCCCCTCCAGGTGTCGCTCATCTTCCCCATTATCCTCAGTGTATTTATACCTGTGTTCTCTGTTGCCAGTTCGTTTTGTTTTGTCAAGCTTACCAGCATTATTCCCCTTGCTCCTGTCTTTTTCAAGTTCCTGTTTTCTAGTTTTCCCGGTTTTGACCATTCTGCCTGCCCTGACCCAGAGCCTGCCTGCCATTCTGTACCTTGTCACACCACCCTGGATTATTGACCTCTGCCTGCCCTGACCCTGAGACTGCCTGCCGTTCTGTACCTTTTGGACTCTGATCTGGATTACTGACCTCTGCCTGCCCTTGACCTGTCGTTTGCCTAGCCCCCTGTTTTTGTAATAAACTGTTGTTCCTTCGACACGGTCTACATCTGGGTCTTCTCCTGAAACGTGATAGTACGAACTGACCATGACTGACCCAGCAGACTCGGACAAGCCCCGCAACGCCATCTCCTCCCAAGGAGCCACCATTGGAAGGCACGAGGAGTTGCTTCGTGGGTTCATGGAAGGGTTCCAAACCTTGGCCGATCGCCATGACCGAGCGTTTAACACATTGCTGGAAGCAATTCCGCGGGTTGTCTGTTAGGCAGCCTACCATGACAGTAACCTCCCAGCCCCTCAGTAACCCAGCTGTTAGCAGCGCGACCACCCCGGTTTCCAGAGAAACCCGCTTACCTCCCCCGTAACGCTTCGCTGGAGAGTCAGGAACGTGTCGGGCATTTCTCGCTCAGTGTTCGCTCATCATCGAGCTGCAGCCCTCCTCCTTCCCCTCGGACCGCTCTAAGATAGCGTACCTCATCTTGCTGGTGTCCGGGAGGGCTCTCGCCTGGGCTACGGCAGTGTGGGAACAACAGTCGGCCGTATGCTTCAGTCTGGAGGAGTTCATGCAGGAGGTAAAAAAGGTTTTCGATGCTCCATTGTCTGGGAGAGAGGCTGCCCGGAAGTTAATTCAGCTTCGGCAAGAATCCCGCAGTGTGGCAGACTATGCAGTGGATTTCCGCACGTTGGCAGCTGAGTGAGCTTGGAACCCGGAAGTGCTGTTCGACACGTTCCTGCAAGGAGTATCGGATGAAGTAAAGGACATGCAGCCTGTGAACTACTGACGGATCTCGACTCGCTCATCGCTTTGACCATTCGGAACAATGGGAGACTATGGGGAAGGAAGGAAGGAGACGAAGGATTCCACCTCGTCTCCGAGGCATCCCGGAAGTCCCCAATGGCTCCTTTGCCAAGAGAACCCGAGGCTACCCGAGTTCCCCCGAGAGTCTCCGAAGTCTGCATATAAACCTCTACCCGAGCCGATGCAACTAGGCAGAGCTAGGCTGTCTCCAGCCGAACGGCAATACAGGCTTCACACGAAGAGTTGCCTGTATTGCGGGACTACTGGTCATTTTGTGTCCACCTGTCCACTAAAAGACCAGGCTCACCGGTAGGAGCGAGTACTCTGGTGGGCCATACGGATAACTTTTCCTCTCCCCTTACTCAATCCCCCTTTCATGCGATCTTGCTGTGGGGGAACTAGTCGAAATCTCTCTGGGTACTCATCTACTCTGGGGCCGATGAGAGCTTTATGGATGCTACCCTGGCGTCCGAGCTGGGCATCTCCACTCAGCCCCTCTCCATTCACATGGACGTTAGAGCACTGGACCAGCGCACTATAGGCTGGTTCACCCACAATCCCACCTCCATCAACCTATGAGTATCAGGGAACCACAGCGAGACGATCCAATTCCTGCTAATTAAGTCTCCTCAGTTTCCCGTGGTATTGGGTTTCTCTTGGCTCCAGCGACACAACCCCTTTATTGACTGGTCTACTGGTGCCATCATGGGCTGGAGCCCGTTCTGCCACGCTCATTGCCTGAAGTCAGCGCAGCCTGCCCCGGGACATCTTCCTGGGGGCTCGGAAGTTGCCTCGGACCTCTCCGCCATTCCCACGGAGTACCAGGACCTCGGGAGGTGTTCAGTAAGGCCCAGGTCACTTTGCTTTTGCCGCACCGACCCTTCGACTGCGGAATCAACCTTCTCCCAGGCACCACACCGCCCCAGGGACGACTGTACTCGCTGTTGTGTCCGGAGACCAAGGCTATGGAGACCTACATTGAGGACACCCTAGCTGCCGGGTTCATCCGTCCTTCTGCCTCCCCCGCCGGCGCAGAGTTCTTCTTTGTGGAGAAGGACAAAACCCTGCGCCCGTCCATCGACTACCGGGGCCTCAACGACATCACAGTGAAGAACCGCTACCCGCTCCCACTCATCTCCTCAGCCTTCAAGCCGCTCCAGGGGGCCAATGTGTTCTCCAAGCTTGACCTACGGAACGCCTACCACCTGGTACGGGTACGGGAGGGAGACAAGTGGAAGACTGCCTTCAACACGGCCGGTGGTCATTACGAGTATCTGTTCATGCCATTTGGCCTTACCAATGCTCCAGCTGTGTTCCTGCCCCTGGTTAATGATGTTCTCCACGACATGTTGAAGCGGTTCATCTTCTTCTACCTCGCTGACATCCTCATCTTCTCCCGCTCTGCCCAAGAACACATGCTCCACGTCTGACAGGTTGGTCTCCTCCAACCTCTGCCTGTTCCTCACCGTCCCTGGTCTCACATATCCCTGGACTTTGTCACAGGTCTTCCCCCGTCTGATGGCAACACCACCATCCTGACAGTTGTGGACCGGTTTTCCAAAGCCGCCCACTTCATTCCTCTCCCCAAGCTACCCTCCGTCAAAGAGACGGCCCAGCTCATGGTGCAGCACGTCTTCCGGATCCATGGACTCCCAGTGGACATGGTCTCCGACCGGGGTCCTCAGTTCTCGTCCCGATTCTGGAAGGCGTTCTGCACACTCATTGGGTCGTAGGCCAGCCTGTCCTCCGGTTTCCACCCTCAGTCCAACGGCCAGTCGGAGCGAGCCAACTGTCACACCCTGGTCTGTTTCACCTGTCTTTGTGATTGTCTACATCCCCCTCCAGGTGTCGCCCATCTTCCCCATTATCCCCAGTGTATACATCTGTGTATACATCTGTTTGTCTGTTGCCAGTTCGTTTAGTTTTGTCAAGCCTACCAGCGTTTTTTCCCTTGCTCCTGTCTTTTTCAAGTTCCTGTTTTCTAGTTTTGACCATTCTGCCTGCCCTGATCCTGAGCCTGCCTGCCCATCTGTAACTTGTCACGCCACCCTGGATTATTGACCTCTGCCTGCCCTGACCCTGAGACTGCCTGCCGTTCTGTACCTTTTGGACTCTGATCTGGATTACTGACCTCTGCCTGCACTTGACCTGTCATTTGCCTGCCCCCTGTTTTTGTAATAAACTGTTGTTACTTCAACACTGTCTGCATCTGTGTCTTCTCCTGAAATGTGATACATATGCTTTTGAGCGACGACCAATTCATTTTCATTATTAGGAACAATTACCAGTCGAGGCATGATGTGCAGAATCAAACACGTGCGAGGAGAATGGGAGCAGAACATCACTGGAAAGCATAGCGAATAGCCAGCTGATCCCTACTACAGTACTTCGCCATGAGTAGGAACCACACACTGATACCCGTGGGGCAGAGAGAAGGGATGGAGATGACTTTGAACTCTCTCAAGAAAAAAGGATGTCAGTCTGCCATCGGCAAAGGCACATTAATGCCAGAACGCGCCTTTGCAGTCATTGCATAGTGTAAGATCAGCTCTATCTCTGACAAACGATATCAAATTAGTGGCTTTTCTATGTGTTGTCTATATACGTGACTTTTATCGTACCATCAAGTCTAAGTATTTTTTATGAAAAAGACTGACCAAGATCAAATTAGTATTTGTATTTGTGTCCTACCTTTTCTTGGGAAAACAAGTTGGAGGTACAGCAAAAGACAAATGAATAGGGTTAGCTAGCTATTTTTTTCTACCCAAACCAATTTCGATTCGGGGCCTGCTGAACAAAATTGAGGCAGTTCCCCTGAAATTGCTTGGCAAGAGATCTGAGGGAGAAAGTTGAGGTATGTCGGCTGTTTCAAGACATGAAAAAAAGTGACAGTCGTTTGTGCATAGATGCTGACCGACATCACAACAAACTCCCTGACATAAAGGGAATGGAATGTTTCAAAAGACAGCGGGAGATGAGATACATTCTCCTCATTAGGAACTATCGACAGTTCCAATCAAAACCTTCCATCAGCTGTTTTCTTTAACAGAGCCAGAGCCAGCTTTTTGTGGGTGCTGCAGATCAGTTTGTCATTGGGGGATAGAGACATCTGGGAAAGAGCTGAACTAAGCTTAGGGAGATTGAGAGAGAGAGATGGAAAGAGAGAGAGTGAGATAGAAGGAGAGCGTGAGGGAGAGTAATTATATGAGCTGCTGACAAAGTCTCTGTCAGCTTGCCTTGCAGGAAAGGACTTGATGGGTGAGTGACTGCGAGTG